GAAAACATCTCTCTGTTGCTTCAGAGGCCATAACAGACGTTGTTGATTTACCAACAGTTGATTTAAAAAATCTAATCAATTTCAGTCCAACTCTCTCAATAACCTTGGCAAAAACAATAAACAGTTCAACATAAAGTGCCAGTTGCACCAACAACGTAATAAATAGTTCAACATAAAGTGTACTGTACCATTTAAAATAAAATAAAAAAGTGCCAGTGATTGACCTCAATCCCTCCTATTCTTCCAATATCCTGATGAAAAATAAAATCTCTCTGTTGCATAGGCCACTGTTTGATCAACGCGAATTGGGTGTGGGTCCTTGTACTCCGAGTCGGGCTAACGTCCACGCTAGCTTCCACGCTAGCTGCTATAGGTTTTGCATTGAGGTGATACTTGAGGCTTGATGTGCTGCGGTGATACGCAAATTCCTTTTTGCATAATTTGCAAACAACCGTGCTCTTATCGATGCTTCCATCCGTCCGTTTTTTAAAACAAAATGTCCCATCCACGGGGCCAACCAAAGCGGTCTCATCAGCTTGTTCGTTCATGTTTGACTATTGTTCACTGTGGTTTGTTGTTGTTTGAAGTCATGAGCGTTAGTTGGTGCTCCAGTATAATCGGTACCCCTGAAACTCATCCAGTGAGAAACGTTCCGCGGTGCAAAAATAAGTGCGATTAAAATGCGTTAATTTTTGTGTAATTAATTAATCTTAATTAACGCGTTAAAGTCCCGGCCCTATTCAATACATGATTTCTGGTACTTTTTGGGTCGAGGAATTCATATTTGATGTTGTTTTGATGATTTGACCTATTTTTGACCTTCAAATCCAAGATGGCCACCGATTTTTCCCCAAAGGTCGATATAATGCCTTTTCCTAAAATGGTATCATTATTTTACATATAAAGTACCAACGAGGCTACTCCCTAAATTCATCACCCTGAATTTAGGATATTCATAAACTAAACCTGCAGTACTTGTGAGGAAATTAGGTGTAGGCCTCACATTTTGACGGATATTTTGTTTCGAAAATCTTCCTATTGATACACAATATTTTGTTCCCAACAGACCACTGCATGGTGAATTTCATCAAGAAGAATCTGCTGGGCTCACTGGGCGAATTCAGAAACCGCTTCATCAACCCCATACAGAACGGCCAGTGTGCGGACTCCACGTCACGAGACGTCCGCATCATGAAGAAGCGAGCGCACGTGCTTCATGCAATGTTGGCTGGATGTGTGCAGGTAAAAAAAGAAATACAGCAACGTGCACACTGTCTGTATATGTACACATTCAGTTTTGCTTAGTTTTCCAGCTCTCACAACGTGTTCATCTTTTTTTTTCAGAGAAGAGATTACTCAGAGTTGACTCAGTTTCTGCCTCCCAAACACGAGTACGTGCTGGCTGTGAGGCTCTCCCCACATCAGTACAGGTTGTACCGCTACTACCTCGACAACATCACTGGTGAGAATCTGTCGCTACATTTGAACTTGATCAGTGATTACAGCTCAAGAAAAATCGAATTGTGAACATTGGAATTATGTTTGTTTTTCCAGCTATGGGTTCCTCGAAGAACAGAGTGAATGTGAAGGTGGGAGCAAATCTGTTCAAGGACTTTCAGGTGCTCAGCCGCATCTGGACCCACCCCTGGTGCATTCAGCTGAACCACATCAGCAAAATAAAGAAGGTTAAAAAAAAATCACTCATGTCATGTTGTGTAAAATAATGTTAAGGGGTTCAAATCTTAATAAACTGGATTTTCATTACAGGGATATCTTCTAAATAAGAATACAAATGAATCAGCAGAACAGCGGAGAAATGAAGAGCGTGCTGTGGCTGAGAGGTAAGACTACGCATGCTTTAATAAAGTCTTATCACATGGTTTATGAACGTCTTTAGATATTGTGACTGATTGTGATGATGTGCCTTTTAAAGCCATGCTCAGTAGCAAATGATTTACTGATGTAAATCTAAATTGATAAATAAGCAAAAGCTTCCAAAAAAAAGATATGTAGAATGGTCAGACAATGCATCAACTTAAAACCAAAATGTGAAAGGAAATCATTTGGGACCTTTTGAAGTGTGCTGCTTTGCTTAAACAGCAGCTCTCAAGTTTATTTTATGATGTATATTTGATTGATTTACCTTAATACACAATGTTTGCCTGTTGTAGTGCACTCAGAGCGATCAAAGGGCCAGGAGGGAACAGCGAGGCCGGCCCTACAGCGGGTGTTGCTGGTGTGTCCACAACTGCTCCAGCACTGGAAGGTAAAAAAGCTACATTTTTAACAAGTACTCCACCCTTGTGGTTTTCACACCAACCATCAGCTCTAGGTGGTCCGACACAAGATGAGCCATGGTTCAAAGGCATGGTGACTGAAGAGGACGCTAAAGTCATGGAGCTCTCGGGGAAGCTGGTGCTCTTGTTTGAGATCCTCAGAATGGCTGAAGACCTTGGGGATAAAGTGTACGTGTCTTTTCTAATTTAAAGCTAATTCATCTCCGAAATAACTGTATCTAGACTGCTCCTCATAACTAACCAAACCCATTTCTTGAATCTTTAGGCTTGTTTTCAGTCAGTCATTGATCTCGTTGGACCTTATTGAGGACTTCCTGAAAGATTCTCACAATGCCAGAAACTCATCAGCATTCAAAGGTATTCTGTTTATGTCAAAAAAAAATTGTTTATTTAGGAAACGTCCTTCTTGATGGTACTTAACCTTTATTCCGTTCTTCATTGTTCTCACAGCGGGCAGCTGGATTAAAAACATTGATTACTATCGTCTTGACGGTTCCACCAGTGCTTTGTTAAGGAAGAAATGGGCTGATAAGTTCAACAATGACACCAATGATCGGTACAGATTATCCCACTGTTATTGCAATCTTTCTTTATTTTATTAAACTTAAATAAGAATATTTAAAAAGTTTCTCTTCCGATTGTATTTTATTGATATTTATTTCAGTGGCCGATTGTTTCTCATTTCAACGAGAGCCGGCTCACTTGGCATCAACCTCGTCGCTGCGAACCGGGTCATCATCTTCGACGCCTCATGGAATCCCTCGTATGACATACAGAGCATTTACAGGGTCTACCGCTTCGGTCAGCTCAAACAGGTGTTTGTGTACCGCTTCCTGGCTCAGGTAGGCTCACTGGTCTTTGTTTAAATATAAAAGTTACGGTTTTGATAAACGTAGGTGGACATTTGTTTAGTCTAGTTATTAACTGGTGTGACTATTTAACAAAGTCACTGCAACATTTAAAATACATTTACTGTCAACCCTGAATTACTGAAGGAATGCTTCATTTGAGTTTTGTCTCAGGTTGTCTCCTTCTTTTTCTAATTTTCCATTGTTTTTCCCTCTTCTTTAAAGGTTATATTATACAAGTTTTACAAAGCATGAATTTTGCCAGGACTACAGCTATCACCTGATAACAAAAAATAACCAAGTTAGAGTAGCATTGGATGTTTTTGGGTCCAAATGTTTAGTGTCTTGAGCTGAACTGTCAGATACATTTAGGGATCATATGAGCAAAGAGGCTCTGCTGCTACATACATTTGTTAAATGTGTGTAGCACAAAGTTCTTACTTTGACCTTATATTTGCGTTAATTGAGAAATACAGGAATGGTTAATGTTTTTTGTGATCAGTGCTCAAAGCAATGTCTTATGGACACAGATCTCTTAGAGCTACTGTGTTTCACTTCCTAAAACATTTCAGTCCCGTTAATGATGACGGTCATTTTATCTTCAGGGCACCATGGAGGAGAAGATCTATGATCGTCAGGTGACCAAGCAGTCTTTGTCCTATCGAGTGGTGGATCAGCAGCAGATCAAGAGGCACTACACTCTGTTTGAACTGACTGAACTTTACACATTCGAGCCGGACCTGCTGGACCACCCAAACTCTAAAAAAAGCAAAAGAAGCACCTCTGTTTTGCCAAAGGTGACTGTTTTATTTTCAGGTTCTGTAAGCTAAAATCATACTCAGCTGTCTGACAATGGCGTACAGGATGAATGTGCAGTATTGAGTGACTTTTTGTGTCTGATTCTCAGGATAAGGTCCTGACACAGCTGTTACAAACCTCTAAAGACCACATAGTTTCTTTCCACGAGCATGAATCTCTGCTGGACCATAAACAAGATGAGGAGCTCAGTGAGGCAGAACGCAAAGATGCGTGGGCCGAGTACGAGGCCGAGGTAAAGAGCAACTCACTGCAAAGCATTAAATATCCTGTCCTGGGCTCTGTTTAGTGAAACTGAATGCGCTTGTCTATGGGGTTCTTTACATAAAAAATGGTGTGCTGACTATATGTAAATCTGTCTTCCAGTCTTCCAACCCTGCTGCCGCCATCACCCAGGACACCCTGCATGCGAAGACCAATGAACAGCTAGTGGTATACTTAAAGATAAAAAGCTTTTCTTAGAAGTGCTGCCGATGGTGTTTGTGTTTCATATAACACATGACATTTATAACTGTCTCCACAGGAGTTGCTGAACAAGACCAGAGCGGATACAAATGCGACATTCCTGTCCCTTCAGAGAATGACTACTCACACTGTGGAGGACTACATGTTACGAGTTGTGAGTGAATTTAAGGTCTCATTAATAAGGGGATTTAAAATGAGGGTCCATTTCTTTCAAAGTAACTACACTGCTCAAAGAAATGTTTAACGAACACTTTGAAAACACATCAGATCTCAATGGGAAAATAAATCATGCTGGATATCTATACTGATATGGACTGGGTAATGTGTTAGGAACGAAAGAATGCCACATCATTTGCTGGACATGAAAATGATCAACCGACAGAGGGCTGAATTCAAAGACACTCCACAAATCAAAGTAGAAAATTGATGCGGCAGGGTAGTAATTCCATTGCAAAAACTCAAAATGGACCAGGGCATCCCTGAGCTCCTGGACAGTCTCAGGTGCAATCTGGCAGCTTCGTTTTGACCGAAACGTAATGTCCCACAGGCGTTATATTGGATTTAGGTCAGTTCCTAAATTCCTTCCTCCTCCAGGAAATTTCTGCATACTCTCGCCACATTGTCGTGCACCAGAAGGAACCCAGGACTCACTGCACCAGCGTAGGGTCTGACAATGGGTCCAAGGATCCTGATACCTAATGGCAGTCAGGGTGCTGTTGTCTAGCCTGTAGAGGTCTGTGCGTCCCTCCATGGATAGACCATCACTGAACCACAACCAAACTGGTTATGCTAAACAATGTTACAGGCATCATAACGTTCTCCACGGCTTCTCCAGACCCTTTCACGTCTGTCACGTGCTCAGGGGGAACCAGCTCTCATCTGTGAAAAGCACAGGGTGCCTGTCAATTCTGGGGTTCTGTTGAGCTCCACGTCGGGCCCCCAGGCCATCCTCATGAAGTCTGTTTCTGATTGGTCGGACACATTCACACCAGATCATTTTGTATGACTCATCCTGTTCCTCCTTGCACAAAGGAGCAGATACCTGTCCTGCTGATGGGTTGAGGCGCTTCTACGGCCCTGTCCAGCTCTCCTACAGTACCTGCTTGTCTCCTGGAATCTATTCCATACGCTTGAGACTGTGCTGGGTGACACAGCAAACCTTCTGGCAATGTCACGTATTGATGTGCAACCTCTATAGGGTCAAGGTATCGCCTCATGCTAGCAGTAGTGACACTGACCCTAGCGGCTAGCCAAATGCAAAACTAGTGGAAAACAGTCAGAAAAGATGAGGAAGTGGCCTCCACCTGGAAAACCATTCCTGTTGTGGGGGTTGTCTCATTGCTGCCCCTCTAGTGCAACTGTTGTTCATTTCATTAACACCAAAGCAGCTGAAACTGATTAACAACCCCCTCTTCTACTTAACTGACCAGAACAATATCCCAGAAGTGTAATTGACTTAATGCTATACTCTGATTAAAAAGTGTTCCATACATTTTTTTGAGCAGTGTAGTAACCAGGTGTGTCTACATTTCATCCTCCAAAAAACGTAAAGATGAAAACAAAGATAACTAAAGCTGGGATTTATTCATATTAAATACAATTGTTTTACTAACAAGTACTAATACAAATAGTAGAGCATGGAAAAAGCACAGATTTGGATCCACTCCAAAATGTAATGGGTTCTTCCTTGGCCCAAGATACACCATTTCAACAAGCCCCATGAAATTGAGGGCAGTTGTTGGTTGGTCATCCTGCTGACAGACAGACAAAGCCTGGTTGAGGTGCTTAAAGAGCTTACAAAATGAAGGACAACACTGTTCTTATTAGGATAATATATACTATTATTAATGGGAAATCATTTGTCATTAATGACAATATGCCCGCTGTATTTATAAATCGTGATTTATTACAACTTTCCATGCTCGTTTCCGATGTTACACGACCGCTCCGGACCAAACAGCTTTCGCCGGTTAGTGACGTCACGCACGTCACGAGTAGAACACTTTTTGAATAATACACTAACTATATGGCTGATGTCGGACTCTGGCTCGGATATTTCGACAGCATCGAGTGACAGTGAGTCGTCAATAGACTCGGTGCACTTTCAAGAAGAGGAGGATTTTATTGAAGAGGATGCCGGTGTGGTGGAATCAGATCATGCGGGCGAGTCTAACGTGGTGGAACCATACCAGTTTGAGCCACAGTATTCAAGTAGCGGTAGAGATACAGACGGGAGCGAAAATGGGGACGATGATCCTGTCCGGTGCGGCAACAGAACACAGACTGGTAAACATTTGACTTTAATTCATAGAGATTCTCAATAAATAGTAAATAAATAATAATAAATAGCAGGCACACTTGGCTCAGGCAACAGAACACAGACTGCTATACATTTGATTATAATTCATAGAGATGTTCATAAAATAGTAAATAAATAATAATGACTGCTGAAAAAACCAGCTTAGATAAATGTAGCTGGTCAGGCTGTTGTAAATTGAACAGCCAGTAGATATTAGGCTGGAATGGTTGGCTGGAGAGGGATTTTGGACACTTTAGCTGGCCGGGATGGCTGGTTTATCCATCTATCACCAGCTTATGTTTAATAATAGTATTAAATATAACATGCTGGAAGCTTACCAGGATTCCAGGTGACCAGCACACATTAAATACTGGTATGATTATTTAAACAAGAGAACATAAATATATAACAAAGATTGATTGTGTCATGTATTCTGGTATCTACCAAAATAAAGACATTGTATAGTGTTCATAACAGTATTTTTATTTAATCAGTAGGCAGCGGCCCGCCGCCCCGCCCGCCGCCGCGGCCCCCGCCCGGCGGGCGGGCGACCCCGCGCCCCGGCGGCCGGCCCGGCCGCCCGCCACCGCCCGGGCGGCCCCCCGGCCGGCGGCGCCGGCGCCGCCGTAATTGGACGGGGCTCGTCAATCCAAACGTCCGAATTCTCTAGTTTGAGTCACTTTCCGTGGGCGGACGACTGGTTTAGTCTCGAGTCACACGCCTCAAATTCGCTAGTTCAGTCGTAAAAAATCTTTCCCTTATGTCAAATTTAACGGCAAACGTTCTTTCTCAATTTCAAATTGAAGAATATATAACGATTAATATAATCAACAGAAGTAAAGTCCTTCATACTGCGACGCGACAGTCCATGCGAACAGGTACAACACTAACCAGCTTACGAGGTTTATGGTGGGGAAAAGTACACTTGCGCGTGGATTGATCTAATCCTGTGCCGACCGAACTCGCTAGGTGAACTATTGGCGCAGCATCATGTCAAAATCTCTCGCGCATACAAAACCTAATCCGCCGGTTGGTCGATTGAGTTTATATAGGTCCAATACCACCTTGTCGAAGCATCATGTCCGGAGACTGGGATACCTGAGCCTGTGATCAAGATGTTCCGAATAATCTCCATTCTCACCATCCTCTCCTCACCTCAATAGAGAACCATAAATCCTACGTTCGCTGTTTTCCACTAGTCTACGATTATTACTAGGCCTAAGTAAACTTATAACTAACAGACGGTTATGGGCTAGGACTAGGCTAATAAGATTAAAGGGTCTATTATGTCGACGTGGCACATGTGATCGAGGTTAAACCAAAAACGGTAACATTAAAGTGGTATTCGTTAACAACTGACATTGCAGATACGGTTTGGTTCAAACATTAAACATTACATAACAAGTTATAAATCTATAGTATATAAATAAAACTACACATCCAACTAAACGTCCAAACCAACAATAAACATATTAATAACATTAACAATGGCACATAAAATAATATAATTGATCGATA